TGTTGTTGGGTGATTTCTTTATGATAGCCATTCTTTCAGGGGTGAGATGATATCTCAATGTGGTTTTAATTTGCATTTCACGAATGGCTAGTGATGTGGAGCATTTTTTCATGTATTTATTTGCTTGTTTAATTTCTTCCTCTGAGAAGCATGTGTTCATCTCAGATGCCCATTTCTGGATTGGGTCTTTAAATTTTGGGGCCCTGGTAGAAGCAGTTTTTATCAGGTAAATCTTAGAAACAGTCCAGATGACCATCAGCTGATGAATGGATGAAGAAGATGTGGGCTTTTTATACAGTGGAGTACTACTCAGCCACAGAGAATTAGCTTGAGACATTTCTAGGTAAATGGATGCCACTTGATACCATATTCTTGTAAATTAGACACATATGCATAAATATTGCATGGTTTCTCTGATGCAAGAAACTGAAAGTGTAAATAAGAACCAAAGTGTATAATAGATATTTGAAAATGGCAAGGAAATGTTCAAAATGAAAGAAGAACAAAGGAAGGGAGAGAGGAAAATGAAGGGATAAGAGGATAGAAGGGAAAAATTGTAACAATGCTTTTGTAAATAAAGAGGAGAAGAGGAGTTGAAGGGAGAGGGAGGGAAGTGGAAGAGAAAAAAGGAAGAAGCAAAATATATCATGTACTTATACAAATTCCTTTGATAATGTTATTGTTATGAAAAAAGAAGACACCATCAAGAACATTTATGAATGAGAGGGCGTGTCCATGCCTGACTTGAAAGACAGGTGAATTCACATGTTAGAACTAACTTGGTAGTGCAACTGGGACTTGACATTGAAGCCAGTGCTCAATTGTCATTCTCAAACTCCTAGGGCCCTTCAGAAGTATGTTACTGTATATCTGTTCTGCCTGTGCTTTTTAAATACAACAACAAAGCCCAGAAGACTGTGTATTTATTTACAGCATGGTTTGCTGAATATTTTAAGCCCACTGTTGAATCCTACTACCCAGAATAAAGTATTCCTTTCAGATTATATAACACACCCAGTCTCTCAAGAGCTCAGATGAAGATGTACAGTGACAGTAATGGTGTTCACATGCCTTCCAACACAATGTCTATTCTGCAGCACACAAGGCAAGGAGTACTTTTAACTGCAGTCTTAAAATGTAATGACCTCTCACTAATAAATTTTGAAGTAGATCAAATGGCCTTAAAGTTTTGGTGCTGGGTGAGTTGATCATTTGCAAGAGATTAGAGGGTTTGCAGAGAAGTGGGTTGTGAGGAGAGGCAGGAGCAGTTCACAAGCAGAAGCACAGTAACTGGAGGCTGAGCCTGCTGGTTTAGGCAGTGAGGTGGATAACAGCTATGCTAAGAAAGACTTCCAGGAAATGATGTTGCTTGATTCTCTACATATTACATGGTCGTCATCTGGATACAGGTGTAGTTTTGCTGTCCAAAACCCTTGAAATGACTTGTGTTCCTCAAACAATTATAATGACAAATCATAGCACAAGTCAATATTGTGTTCTGTAATTGCACAGTGGAGTTGGAGATTTTTTTATCAGAATAATCCTCAACCCCAGAAATTTCTATAGCATTCTTTTCTCTTCAGTAAAGGAAGTAATTCTTAAAAAATAACATACTTCTGCTAAAATTTACCTATTACAGTCAGAAGACCTGAGTTTCCAGAGATTATCCCTGGTTTTCTCTCTATTGAAAGCATGAAGCAGCACAGTAGATGGCTGTGGAGTCTTGTGTTTGAATCGTGCCACTTTTACTCACTAGTTTTATAATCTAGAGCAATCTTCCCATTTCTCTAAGTACCAGCTTCTGCATCACTGACATGGAAATGTAATGAGACTGTAAGGTTCTTGAAATAGAGAGCGGTTACAGGAAGAGCAGCTGGCAGAGGATGAGGTCTTAGCAAACAGTAATCATGGTAGGATTTGTTGGGGGGAGGAACAAAATGGTATGTGAGTGTGGAGGAGGACTCGATCAAAGAGTGTGTTCTATTTGATTCTGTTTCTTTTTTTTTTATTGAGAAACAAATAGCAATGAGACAGTTTCAAAACTGATTACTAGGACAGTTTCAATAATTAATACATTGTACATTGTTTTCTTCTTAGTGGTTATCCATAGTGCAAGATGCAGACTTGATTCTGTTTCTTATGGGAATCATTTGCATTACTTCTTTGCAGAATAACGGGACCACTGAGCATCAGATAGAATCTTTCATAAGGAAAAAGCTGGAGTCACTGTTAAAAGAATCTCAAATTAGAGACAAAGAAGATCCTGACAGTTTCACGGTGCGGGCGCTCCTGAAGGCCACACATGAAGGCTTGAATGCCCACCTGAAGCAGGTACACAGTTTCCCGCAGTGCTCATTCCGCCACAAGAACATGTAAACTTCCTTGTACTTCGTAATTTTTTGTCACTTGTGAATATGCTTCTCCAACTTCTTTATTTCTAACATATTGTTATTATAATGAAAATATCAAAAGGATGCAAAAAGCAGCTACAAGTCAGGAGCTGGGGGATAAAATGACGCGACAACTGCTGCAGTGGGTCTCTCAGGAGAAAGCCCACTGTCTCTGGGCTCAGGTGAGAGAAGAGCCTCCGGCCTACGATGTGCTTCACCTGCTCTCTTCTCCCCATGCAGCAACCTCCATGCTCTATGGATTTTATCTCCCCACGTGTCTCCTGTCTGTTCACTTATCTTCCCCATAGTTATATCCAAATCTAGACAAAAGTCAATTCTTTCTCCTGTTTCAATTTAAATTCTACTTGGAAATCAGCATGGTTTTTCAAAAACTATGAATCTAATTGTCATTCCACTGTTTAAAATTCTTCCAGTTACATTTCAGGTAGATTGTAAACTCCTTGACCAAGCTTTTAAGGACCTGCAAAAGAGTATCCTTACTTCTCCTCCACTCTCAGATCTCTGTTTGTTTCCCACTACCCACCATTGTCACACCAGCCACAGTTACCTTCATGTCCCATGATCCTCCTCACAGCCCATCCCATTTGCCAGGTGCACTCCATTCCTGTATCTTCTCTAGCTAACTCCTATTAGTCATTTAAATCCCAGCTTCAATGTAATATCTTAAAAGTCTTGCCTTGATCTTTGAATTTCGTTAGCTATCACCTTTATATTGTCCATGGTGATCTGACATGTCTTCTCTTTTCTAAGGGTTTGTCTATATACTTGCATTTGTTTGTTCAATGTGTGTCTTCCCACTTAGTCTGTAGATGTCTGAAGATAGTAATGAGCCAGTCTTGATAGCTCTTATTTTCCTGGTTTATTATAGTGTCTATAGTTTAGGAAGATCACAGATAGTTCTAAAATAAACCAATGTTTTGCATTCTTGATGAGATTTTTAGTTGTGGTTTCTAATAAAAGTGTCATAAATGGTCAAGGAAGAGAGAGGATTTTAAAATGTTATCATTGTAGAATATTTTTTTTTCTAAATGAATATCCTTTTTATTGGATTTTTCCCAATTACAAATGAAATTTCATATTACATCTATAATTAGAAACAACACTTACACTGGGACTGTACAAATTTAGGTCAAAATAAAAATATATATATTTTGTGGTTTCATAAAACATTTATGGAATCTTTTAAAGAAAGCAGAAGTAACAGCAATATATGCAAAAGTGATGATTTAATGACTATAAGCAAGAAAAAGCAATAGAATTGTGCTTCTTTTGCAGATGGGAGACAATGAAATGTTTAGCTATAATTTCCCATACAAACATGAAACAATAGTCATATTGAGTAAACACTCTCACAAATAACTGATGGGTGATGAACATACACCACGTTCAACCAAAGCAAAACACAAACTGAGAATTGTTAGTGTTATTCATATTTAAAGTTAACATACTTGCTGTATTTAAAAATTCCTGTAGAAGTTTATGATAAATTGCTTCTATTTCTAGACATTATAAGGAAGGCATATTCCATTAATTGTTGTGTTTTTTGTTTGTTTCTTTGTTTTTGAGACAGAGTCTCACTATGGAGTTCAGGCTGGCCTTGGACTCCTGGCAGTCATCCTGTCTCAGCCTCCCAAGAGCAAGGATTACAGGCATACACCACCAGACCTAGCTCCATTAACTGTTAAAGCAACTCTTAAATGTGAAATTATTATTCCATATATTAAAATAACTTTAGACAAAATGTTTTTCAGCAATTAGCTGGTTCGCTTAAAAATTTTAGAATTGCAATAAGAAATAGGCATTTAAAAACACATTAATTCTATTATGCCAATGAAAAATTATGACATTTCCATATTTCTTATAAAGTTTTTGTTTTCTGCAACAATTTAAAAAGTAACCATGTATTACTAGGGAAAAAATCAGTGTAATGATTATTTGCCAATTACTTCAAATAGAGCAGAATTTAGAACTAGATTATCCTTATTAAAAGTATTGTATGCTGGTAAAGCTAACCTTCAATATAGGTATCTGCGTGGGTATCTGCAAAGGTCGAACCAGTTGGGAGAATTTTAACCATTTCTGAACTCATGAAACACAATTATTTTTTTATAGTATTTATAAATATATCATACAATACTGTTTCCTGTTATGTCATATACCAATATGGCATTGTACAACAAGCATAATGCCATCAGATTCTTACAAAAGCGAATAATTTAAACAAGTCAGTAAAATAAATGGTAGTACCTGCTTTTAGGCATACAGATTGTAAACCTGAAGTTTACTTTGCTTTGATCAGTTTTGCGTAGCAACAGAGAAATAAATCAAACAGGAATCAAAATGGCTAAATATGCAAGAAATCGTTATTCACAGTGACATGGCTACATAGAATGCCTTATTTTATGTTTATTCTTTCCATCTGTTGAATTTCAAGATAAAAAGCACTTGTATTCTACAGGTTCACAAAACAGCATGATAACAAGAATAATCAAGAAGAACGTAATGTAGGCATTAGTTGAGATTAACAAACTATGGCCCAATGCTTCTAATCCACTACAGAGTATTTTCAAATCCAAACAATGGTTACAGAAACCATTTCACATCTTTCCTAACACAGTAAAAAGTCTTGCCTGCCTTCACAAAATCCAATTCTTTATAGGAACAATCTTTCTTTTCAATTAATGTCCACATGAGTATCACATCTAGTCCATCTTTTACAGCCAAATTTAATGTCACTACAAAAGAAAGCAAACTGGACAATAGTCACATGTATTAGCATCTATAAAGCTGTAATGGCATGAAGATATCTATATAAATTAGGAGTTTAAAATTTTTTCCTTAATAGTCTCAGGAATCAACCAGATGATGTTGCTGATGACCCATTTACTGATGATTTTTGAGGTCTATTGGCAAAGGAAAATTAGTGGTTACCGCTGGGGCTGTTGCTGGTTCCATTCATGGTACTGGAAATGTGAGGAAACTGTGGATGAGGAGACTGCCCTGGAGTACTGGGGCTAGGCAAACAAGAAGAGGTGGAGGGGATACCTCCTGCTGGACTGTTGGCCTTGTCACTCCCAGAGTCACTTTCCAGTTCGCTAGCATTTGTCAGTCCATCTCTCTGGTGACTAATCTTCATTCTCTTACAAGTAGGCCGAACTCTGTATTTCAAAGGAAGTGGACCATTCCTTCTCCAGGTATAAATGTAGGCAATGTCCATTAGTGTATAGTAATCCTTTAAAGGTTCCTCTTCATACATGGCATCAATCTGGAAAGTATTAGGTATGTCCATTTTACTTTTGAGAAACTTTCTTAAGTGCATCACAGTCATTGCTGCTGGGCATCGTAAATACCTTTTATCATTCACCTCCTTAGCCTTCTCTTTGTCTTTATTTACTTTCCGATACAATCTGTTTTGGTCAAATAATTCAATGGATAAGCTTATTATCTCATCATCAGTTATAATCCTCTTCTCTTCATCAGCAACTTCTCCTCTATCTTCATTAGAGCCATTAGCAGCATCAGCTGAAGGATGAGCTGCATAAAAATCCCTTCTTCTCTTCATTTCATTTTTGAAACTAATTTGTATACGATATCTTGAAGTGTTTTGTCTGACCTTATATTCAGTAGTGGTCTTGTTTTGTGAACTTGGACATCACAGATAGGACAATACTTGCTGGTCTCCAGGTAACGCACAATACACGTTTTACAGAAGGAATGTAGACATTCTATTATGGTTGTGGCATCAATGAGATATACCCTCCACAAAGCACACTTTAGGTGGGGATTTAGCTCCGTGATCTTGATTCTGGTTGTTCGATGCATTTCTGCTCTATAAAAGATCCCGGAAAGAGCGGCCGGCGAGAGACGATTGAAACGGGCGGAAAAGACAATGAAAGTTAAAAGTCGTTCATCAGAAAATGAATGTGAGCCAAGCGTCCTCTTGAAGCGAGCTGGGGACGCCGCTGTCAATGGGCAAGGAGCACAGCCCAGAGGAGCCTCGGCCGCCGCGCTCAGCTCCTGCTGCCTCCAAGCCCGAGCCCGGCCTCCTCCGCCGCCGCCGCCGCCGCCGCCGCCTCGGCCTCCTCCTCCTCCTCCTCACTGTAGAATATTGAGAGCATTTATTCTGGACACCAGGGGACCCTTGTCGTTACTGGCATGGCTAATATCAGTTTTCCATGCTGCTACTGTCTGTCCTCTATACTCCTGGAAGAAAGATCATATCTTATCCTTGGTGGTTACCTTTAGACTTTGCAAAACTATAGCATTAAGCTGTTCCTCAGAACTATTAGTTTCCAAAGGTAGAAAGCCCAATTCAGAATTATTAAGATAGTGAAGAAAGATGCTAGGTTAGGTAGCTGGTAAGTTTATTTAAGGGTTTATTTAAAGGTTTTTTTATACAGGGTCTGCATAATATCAGAGACTTTTTTTTCTATTTGCCTTCTTCAGTATCGTCCAAAATCTTGTTACCCTTCCCTCCATAGTTGGCAGTCCCATGAGCTACATTTTTGTTGGTCCATGAACAGGGTGTGAGATAGTGTATTTGTGCCCAGCTAATAAACCAGAATTCATTTTTAGCCCTTATTGGAAATGTAGCTCATAAATCAACCCCTAAGGTAATCACTATGACTTTGGATAATTGTTCTTCCTGAAATAAATTTCACAAGTGTATGGGATAAATGTATTGCTAATGTCAGTGAACACTTGCCCTTGGCTCTTGTGCCTCAGATGTTTCATCTTGTAATATCTATCAGGAGAGCAGATGGACTGTTGAGGAAGCAACCAAAAGGTCGGTTGTAGTATTATGATTCTCCAGTAATTTTGGATTTTATTAAATTTTCAATAAAATCTTAGATTTTCTTAAAATTGTAATAAAAAATACAAGCAGGTTACTCTTCTTCTAGGAAACAAAGATACCATGCTAGTGCCTGTAAGGTCGCATTCAGTTAGGCCAGCATGGTTTCCTCTGCTTATCCTTCGTGAGTCTCACTGGCTGACCTGGACCAGTCATCACTCATGCTTTTGGAGGAGTCTTTGTCATGTGCCAGATCATTCCTACTGGGAAGGCAGCCAGAGGTGTTTGATAGTTAGGAAGGAACAAAGTAAGCTACTTTTCTTTTGCTATCTATTGAAGATCTCTTAATAATAATTTTACTATCAGGTCAAATGGAAAGCAACCTTAATTTTTAGAGATATAATAAAGGAAAGCTTGTATCATTTTTTTTGTTTTGTTTTGTTTTCTCTTAAATCTGTGTTACAAAGAGAATGTAATTATATTAGTATAAAACAAAAAGAGCCTTTGACTTTAATAAAGTGGGGTGTAAAGTACTGAGGTTTTGAACACTGCTACCTTACTTTGGAAATAAAGTTTATGTTCTGTGGGCAAGTAAGGTAAGTCACTCTTGGGACAAGTATGTCTGGGCCAGAGAACATATGTGCTTAAATTTCAAGCTGACAGTGTGCTGAGCATGGTTCAGGACAGCATCATTTTAGCTCTTCCTTTCTTGGATTAGAATTCAGCTGTGCGTGTCTGAGTTCTACACACAAAAAAGAGTTCTTGAATATTCTCTATCTATCTATCTATCTATCTATCTATCTATCTATCTATCTATCTATCTATATTTAACTAACTCAGCTCTCCCAACTCTCAGCATGCCAGGCCTACCCTCCACCCCCAGTTTGGAAATTCCCATTTGTTCTTGTCATTATCTTGTGTCAGCCATTTGATGACTCCTAACAGTTTATAGGCTAAAGCTCAAATTCACAGATGTAGCTCATAAGATTCTCTCTTCAGCCCCTTCCCACTTTTTAATCAGCATGTGTCCATGACCTTGACTCTTGCTCATGGTCTTGTGTGAGTCCAAACAGCACCCAGTCCTTCATTACCTAGGAGGGCACTATGCTCTGACTACTTGGCTTTTTTATTTGCTATTTCCTTGGCTGCAACACGCTTCCTCTTCTTAAGTTCACTTAGATAGCATCCAGCCATCTGCAGGCTTCAGCTTTTATACCATGTCTCCTTAGAAATCTTTCATAGTTCTCAAGTTTGGCCATCTTGTGGTGCCCCAAGCTTTCCTCATCAGCTTTTATTGTCTTGCAGTGCCAAGATTTTCTCCACCATTAGATGTAAGCACTGTGGGGGTAGAGCCTGTGCTTCCCTTGTTTGCTCTGCACTTTTGTACTCATCAAATTCCTAGGACAGTGCCAGTTCCATGACTTCAATGAAAGATGAGTGCTGATATTCAGGCAAGGATCACAGCTTCAGATAGATTAGTACAGTTAATTATAGGTCTCCTGGGTAAGGCATAGGGTGACAGAGGTTGGGGAAGTTGGGGAGGAAGCCAGGAAGGAGACTTGGAGCCAGGCAGAGTCTCTTTTATGATCGATTAGTTGGTAGCTTTGGACATTTTGTCTAACTTTACTACAGTTTAGTTTTTACTATCTGTATAATTGAAGTTTAATGATGCTTATTTCCAAAGACAATTGTATAAATTAAATGAGAATATATGTAATGCACGTAGCCGTGTCCCTGAGTAGTCAGCGCCTCTTATGTTGAGTGATGCTATACTTCAATTTGTTTGGGACAGTCTTGCTTTATACTTGTAATTTTTTCAAGTATCACATTTCACATTTTATTTATTTATTTTTTATTTTATTTTATTTTTTGTGGAACCGGGGATTGAACTCAGGCCCTTGTGCTTGTCAGGGAAGCACTTATTCCACTGAGCCATCTTCCTGGCCCCACATTTCACATTTTAAAACATCTCATTTTGGAAAATAAATGCTCTAGTCCTTCTATCATGGGTGCAATGTTTGAGGTAGAAAGGAATTCACATGGTAATTGTCAATTTCTCCCTATTTCACAGATAAAACAAGCTGAAAGAAGCGATTTACCAAAGGATAGATAACTACCTTCAGGCAGCACTGAGTCTCCTAATTTGGAGCGGAGGGTCTCTTTTATGGCCACTACTCTTAGTTTCTTAATTCCAGATATTTTGAAGTTAATGATCAACATTATTTGGTCTTCAAAGGCAATGAACGTACATAAGCCAAGCAACACTTACTTAATATCATCCCTACTCTGTTAACATTTTTCAGAGTGTCCTTTTCCCAGACAATTCTCAGATTCTTCTCACCTTCCCCAGAACTGAATTTTTGACTAGTGTCTGTGGATGTAACAGATGGCCTTCCCTAATGTTGTTAACTCGTGTTCATTCCATTCATGTGATGAGCTCTGATTCTTCTCTGTTTAGCTGGAGTTCTGGATGATTAGGACCAACTGGTCTCCCTGTGTACCATCTCACTAACAGTAAACCACCTGATTTCTTTCTAAGGATAGCAATTAAATAAGTATCTATACCCTTTTAGAGTGATTTTCTGTATAGTAATGATGTTTAGGCTCAAGCAAGGGTAACTAGTTCATTATCTTTAAACTGGAAAATTAGCTCATGAGGAAAACATCACAGAACACAACGCTACCATTTTCTGGTGATCACTAATGAAGGAATTAAGTCAATACATAGATAAGCTTTTCTGTGGCTTAAACGTATAAAAGCTGCATTTTTGCCTCACAGACATGCTTGGGTTTTATTTATTTTTAATATTTTAAAATCCGAGGTGGCAAGTATGCAATGTGATCATTTTATTCAACAAAATTGGCTTTTAATGTCTTGATTATTTCCCCAAAAGTAAATCTTTCCTTCACTGAAAATGATTTATCCCCATTAGTGAATTTGAAAGCACACATCCTACACTGTGGGCAGGCAGGTGAACAGCTCTGACCGGACGTTGCTCTGAGATGTGGCCCCAGGGAGGTAGGGGGCCGCGGCTACATCCTGGCTGGGGCCAGGCATCCAGTCTGTGCTCCTTCTCTTGCTATAGACCTAAAGATGTGGCAGAGGAAGAAGTGAGCAGGGCAAAGGGGAGGAAGGGTCCCTCACCATCTCAGAGCTAAGGAGAATCAAAAGAAGGAAAATAGTCATTTTATGTCTTTATTTACTCAGAATCCGGACATGAAGGAAAGTGGAAAGAAATCCCATGGACGATCACTCATCACCAACTTTGGAAAACACAAGGTATGAATTAAGAGGGATAAGTATTTCGAATTAGTAATCTAGTCAATTTAAAGACTCTGAAGGGTTACAGGAGAACAATTGGTGATGTTGAAATAACTAAAGATATCTTAAGCAAGTCTCCAGAACAAGATTGAAATTTAAAATACTGTAAACCACAAGAACTTCTATTTATCCAAAGTATCAAAAAGCAATGCAGTGTATTATTTGTTGAAACTGTACTTTCGATTTGATTTGAAACTGTCTCATTGCTATATGTTTATCAATAAAACTTTGAAAAGAAAAAAAAATAAAGCAAAAAAAAAAACAAAGACAACAACAACAACAACAAAAAAAAAAGCAAGTCATATCCTAGGGATTGATTTTATTAAATACAAAAATCAAGAAAGTATTTATATCCTGAATATGTAGTTTCCTCAAAACCACAAAAAGACAAGCAATGTAATTTCTAAAATCTGGACAAAAGGCTTCACTGAGTGCCTCATGAAAGGAAATATGCAAATGGCAGAGGAGATGGGGTTCACCCTTCTTGGCCATCTGAGAAATGCACATTTCAGGGGTGATGCACACACCCACCATAGCAGGTAACATGAAAGACTACCAAAATCAGTGTTAAAGGGCCAGGGAGATAGCACAGTGGCATAGTGCCTGCCTGGTCAGTGCAAGGTCCTGAGTGATCCCTGGTATTACCAAAATAAATAAATTAATAGAGAGATAAATAAATAAAATAAAGTAAAATAAACCAGTGTTAGTGAGGATGTTGAGAAGTTTGGAATCCCATCTCTGCTTATGGGTATGTATATTTGTGAAGCTGGGATGGCACATTGTTTCACAGACTATTTTAAGCTATGTTATGCATCACAGCATAGTTCCGCTGATAGGGTTATGTCAAAAGACAGAAATAACAACATTTATAGTGACATTATTTTAATAATCCTAATAGAAAACAGTCCAAATGTCCCTCAACACTCAAATAAATAAATAATTGTGATATATTCACACAAAAGCATATTTTAACAGTCAAAAATGAAAACAATGACACTTATATACAATATATAATGAGCAAAATAACCTAGAATCAAAGACGTGTATATAGTTTGATTCCATTTACAGAAAATTTAAAACCAACCTAGTACCCCAAAAATTCCACAGAAAACCTCCTGACGGAAACTCTGTAGCTTAGGTGTTACTTTTAGGGAGGACGTAACCATGGAATGGTAAAAATCACAGGGCCTCCTGGGGATGAGCTATGTTCCGTTTCCTATTCAAGTGGCTTTGCTTTGTGAAAGCTGTTGTTCTACGTATGTACGACTAGTATAGGAGTCCAAATATTTTCAATAAACATGTAAGTATTTTACAAGAAATGAGTTATTGGATGATGAGCTTTACAGTATGTGCAAGGTTCTTGGGATGCCATTTCTTCTGTTGTAAGGAATTTCATGTCCAGAATTTCCTGCTGATCAGGGAAATAGCTTCTTATTAGGCTGGGTGAAAGAGTCATGACCATACACAATTAAATACAAACAAAATATTTACCTTAAGGACTGCTTAGGTAAGCTGTGATTTATCTGTACAATGGGCAACCGTTAAAAGATTATCTTTCTGAAGATCACAACATATGAAGCATTTCTTTAAAAGAATGAGCTGAGAAGGATTTTACAGTATAATCATCATGATGTGTTATGTCAAAACTGTATTGCTAGGGGCTGGGGAGATAGCTCAGTGGCAAAAGCACCTGCTTGGCAAGCATAATATCCTGAGTTTGATCACCAGTACAAAAACAAAAACAAAAAAATCCTGTGTGTGCTGGGCTGGGGAGATAGCTCAGCAGTCTAACTACCTGCCTGGCAAGCTCAAGGACCTGAGTTTGATCCCCAGTACCACATGCCGTGCCGGCTCAGGAACCCCAGGCACATTGTGCAAGCCCCATGCTAAGCCACCCATCAAAACTGGGTGCATGCCTATAACCCCAGTGCTAAGGAGGCTAAGACAGGAGGGTCACTACGAGTCCAAGCTGCATACCAAAACCCTATATTAAATAAAGAAATAAATAAAAATTGAAAAAAGAACTGTATGTGCAGAAATTGCAGCATCATTTATCCAAGTGGTATCTGTCACTGGTAATTCATTTTTTTAATATTTCATAGTAAAAAGTAAACTTTAAAGAGACAGATTTATGAACTGGGTATGTTGCTCAGTGATAAGAGTGATTACCTAGCATGCAGAAGGCCCAGCACTGTTAAAATAAAAGATTTATTATTGTGATACCTCAGGTACAGATTCCTTAGAACAGATTGGATATCCTTATCTAAAATGTTTGGAGCCAGAATGTTTTAGTTTATTTTTAAATTTTGAGATATTTGTATATACATAATGAAATATTTTGGAATTAAGACCCAAGTTTAACCATGAAATTCATGTATACATTACACATATATAACCTGAAGGTAATTTTATGACATATTTTTAGTATTTCTGTATTCTGACTACAACTTGTTGCAGAGTCAAGTGTAGAATTTGCCATTTTTCATGTCCTGTTGGGGGCCAAAGTTTTTTGATTCTGAAGCATTTTAGATTAGGAAAGCTCACCCTGTATGCGTGGAGTTAGAGATATTTCCTTTCTGAGAACAACTTTTCATTAACATTATCTCCCCAAACCCATGTTTTAGGTAGGACTTCAGCTACAGAATTAGAACTTATTATGCCTCCAGTCATAAGAATAAATAGTGGCCTACAGATTTATATGTTATTTTAATAAACACTAATAGTATTTTACATTGGAAATTAATATCATGTAGTTTGCAAAATGAATCTCTATGTTATCTCATTTAATTATCACAGTAATAATCCTCAGATTAGATGTTGTCACCATACCCATTTAAAAATCACATATGGAGCCGATGAGGACAGCTAACACACCAGCCCAGGGAAAGGCTGAGCTGCGGTGAGCCTGGCCCCTGGGCTCCCCTTCCATGTATGCTGCAGCTCCGGGGGCACAGGCAGTTGCAGAAGGCACTCCAGACCAAACTGGCACCTGGCTACCAGCCTATCAGGGATATAAGCAGGCTTATGCCCATGACAGCTTGTTTTTTATTCACTGTGTTTGAGAACATCTGGAAGTTGAGCCGAGCACATGGTAATATGGGAGTGGGGTATCATTCCTTCCCCGTGCCACACTCCTCAGATGCCTGGATACTCTATCTCAAGATCTCAGTTTTGTTGGTAGAAGCTATAGTTTTGGTGGCAAGGTTTTCTTACTACTGGAGTCCCTCCCCATAACAATTATTTAAATTGTTATGTATTGCCTACATACTGGGGCAACCTCTGAGAGAAAGTCACATCATGTTGAGAAAGTTTTGTGTCTAACAACTAATCTGTCCAAAAGTTAACAGAGTAATCCCAGGCTGGTTAGCTGCAATCCTGTGGCTACCAATTCTCACTATACTGCTAGAAATAAAAATGGGTAACTTCTCAAAGAACCAATTTGATTTATAATGGTTATTTGAGTGTATACTGATCATAGACAAGAATGGTAGGTACTTTTAAGTTAGTATAAATTTTTTTATGAAACCAAAGAGTGATCTTCCTATACAAAAGTGCATTTCCCCTTATAATTATTTAATTAAATCCTACAACTTTGACCTTCCCTCTTGTAGAGACTTTCAAAATGAGTGAACTAGTTAAGTTTTTCTAAGATCGCAATTTTCATAGTTTAGAAATCAGTTTCTGATCATATAACCTTAAATTTTGTCATTAATATTTTAATAAAAAGTGTGGCCATAAACATCTTTGTCATATAATGGTGAATGAAGTACGCTGCAATACTCGGTTAAGTTTTTCCCCCTCCACGTTATTACCTCAAAGTGTATGTGTGCATGTGTGTGTTACGTGCATATGTGTGCGAGTGTATCTGAAAGTGTAGTTTGTTCTCTGTATGCTGTGAAGAAACCTGATATGATGAGTTTATCTTGCTTACTGTGATCCTCCCTGCAGAAAACCGTGAAATCACGTTCTAAATCCTGCAGTACTGATGAGGAGGAAGACACACAGCCAAATGCTGGCAGGGAGAGTGGCCAGCTGTACAGGTAAGCGCATCTTCCTGGTGCCTGCTCAGACTCCACAGGCCTCTCCATTGCTATCATTGTGGCTGTTTAGTTGTTTGTGCCCCAGTAAAACTTGAAAATTAATTAGCTATGAAACAACATACATAAGGAATTTAGCACTGTGCCTAGCACATAATGAGACCCTTAATAAGTGCTAGCTGTAGTAATTGTAAGTAAAACTTACCTTCAGAAAAGGTAGAGAGGCACATGCATGTAGAGAAAGCTGACTGAGAAGACATTAGAGGGGAAACTAGATGTGAAGCATGCATTAGGAACCAGGGAATCACAGTCAGCCAGGTTGCAAAATCTCATCCCTTTATTTACTGGCTCTAACATGGGGTGAGTTAAGCTCCTTTTTTAAAATTTGTTTTTATTTTTTATTTTAGGGAAGGGTCTATAGGATGTTCAGGGTCTCACTGCTAGATTCGCCTCATAGTGATCCACCTGTTTACAGCTTCCCAAGAGCTGGGATTACAGGCACGCAACTCAATTGCTGTCTCAGCACGCCCTGGGGGCAGGGCTGACACAGCAGGCCCAAGGATTGAACCCACAGCCCCTGTGCCTTGCATGTGCTTTAATCTGCTGAGCTCTTTGGCCTGCCCTTCCCTTATTTATTTTTCACTTTGAGACAAATCTCGCTGTTGCTCTTGCTGGGCTTGAACTTTGAGTCATCCCACTGCAGCCTCCCAGAGCTCTCAAGTTATGGACGTGTGCTACCACGTCTTAGTTTTCAACTGATTGTTATACATGTCTGTGTTCACGCCTCCTTTCTTAGAAAAGTGAGCTGTTGGTACATTTTGTCTTAATTCTTTTATGGTTGTATAAAAAACAGCATTTTGGTGGGGTTCTGCCTAATTTGTTTATTGTCTTATCTCTATTAGGTGATCATGTTTTCAGTGGGCAAATAAAATCTCCATTACTACTAATTCCACAACACTTTGATCACTTCTAGAAGAAAATTAGAACCTATCAGTAGTCACTCTCTGTCCTCTTCTTCCTCAGGCTCTGGCAACCGTTGTCTCTGTAGATTTGCCAGTGTCTTCTTTCACTTTAAGGCTCTTAAGATTCATCCATGTACTTGCATTTATCAGCACTTCATTTCCTTTTATTGCTGAATAATCCAGTGTATAGATATAACATTTTATATCTGTTCATTAGTTGGAGGATGCTTAGGTTGTTTTCACTTTTTGGGTATTAAGAATTCTGCTATGAACATTCTTATATAAGCTTATATGTGGCTGTATATTTTTATTTCTCTTGGTTATATTGAAATGGAATTTCTGGGGAAAAAAGACAATTCTCAACTTTAGAAGAAGCTGCCATATTATTTTTCAGTAGTTGAACCATTTTATAGTTTCCAGTAATGTATGAGAGCTCTAATTTCTTTTTATTCTGATAATAATGGTTGTTAACTGCATTTTTGGCTATAGCCATCTTGGCATTATGAAGTGATATCTCATTAGAGTTTGGATTTGCATTCCCCTAATGACTAATAATGTTAAGCATCTTTTCTTGTGCTTATTGGTCTTTGTGCTAGTATACCAGTGAGGATTGGAGTTTTTAACAAATTAGCTATTCCTACAGAGGAAAAAGTATGCGTGTGAGGGAAGGTGACAGCCTGTGGAGGACTTTGATGTGATAAAGAGTGATGGTATGGTTTGTGAGACTGTAGAGGAGAAATCCTGGGAGTGGTTTGTAGAAGAAAGAAAACATAGAAAATATCAGAGCAAAAAGTATTAAATAATATAATGCATATTTGTTTTAAGAAAGCTGGGGCATACAGAGAAAGTATAAAGAAGAAAATTAAACCACTTATAGTCACACCTTTAAAAGATAAGCACTGTGGAAATTTTGATACATTTCCTTTGGGTATAGAATTCTTGTAACCCGTAGTGCAGTGTTTCTATTTGTTTTAGTGTTGAGTCTACTCTCTGATGTTTCTCCATAGTCGGGTAACAGTGGGGACCCAGAGCTTCACAGTGGAACTTAAAAATGCATGAGTGAGCTGTGATTCCTGGCAGAACAGTGCCTAGGACTACCAGAGGAAGGTGACGTGGAGGAAAGGTTACTAAGCTAGGAATCATGCTTGGGTCTATCCTCACTGACCATTCATCTGCTCTCTTGAATGTAGAGAGTGGACTAACCAAATTTCCATCCTCTTCCAACTCCAAAATGTCATGAATCCTGGGTGTGTACTTTACAGGTTGGGCCGCCGAAGGAAAACGATGAAGCTTTGCCGAGAGCTCTCTGATTTGGTTGTGTACACAAACTCTGTGGCGGCCCAGGACATCGTGGACGATGGTAAGGACTGAGAGTTTTTTCTCCTGCTTTGAGTAAACATTGTTGATCTGTCTTTGTAATTGTTAATTAATTGTTTGTTCACCCAATTATCCTTGCATATTTCTGGGAGTGTGTAGACTCCATCTGCCTATCAGGAACTTGTTGGTGACATAATTCTCAGCTTACATGGAGATCTCTCTTGATCATGGTGATTGCCTAGTTGCCTGAAGGTCAGAGATATGTCCTACAGGGCTGAAGAGCATCTTAGTATTGTAAAAAGATAAATGCATCAGAGAAATGTCTACCAGTGCTTGAACTTGGAGACCTGTTCTGGCTTAACGACCAGTCACAGATGGCCTTTCCAAGTGTGAATGCCGAGAAAAAAGAATAAATTAATTGGCTAAAGCAACACCCTGGAAAGCTTCATATTTTCTTACTGTAAGTTTTGACTTTGATTAAAGAAGCTTAATCCATGGATTAAAGTTTTAACAAAAAGAGCAGAAATTTCAGTTCAAAGGACTCATTATTTTTCAACCATCAATTGCTGCATTGAGCTGAGAAATTCCAGTCACAGCTATTCTTACCCTTGACCTTCTTGCCACTTGCTCTTTTACCCTTTGTCTTGCATTTCATTTAGATATTGAATGCTTGAAATAACCTATAATCATGTGATACTTCAACCTTATTTCAATTTTAGTAGAAGTGAAATTAAACAGAATCTCCAAGTTTCTCAGCTTGTCTTAGTGGCAGGAAACAACATTATGGTGAGTTATGTGTCTCGGAAACCTTCAGGATTCTGCTCAGATCTCTGTCCTCTGTCTAGGTCCACAGGTGTGTCTGCTTCTCACTGCAGACAGATTTCTTCCTCTTGGTGTTGATTTTTTTGCTTCAAATAATAATTGTACAAAATTTCAGTTAAAATTTTCACATGTGAGAACATGATAAACCTTATAATTCTCAGCAGTTATATATTTATAATTACTGCCCACAGCCCAAAAACAAACAGTGAGTAGCTGAATGAAGTTAAAAGTAGTTTGGCATAAAGAATGAGAATGTTACAATATATACCATTGGGAGCTACTAACCCATTAGCTTATGAGAAAGTAGTCTTGAGTATTTTAAACGTTAGCTAAGTCTTTTGTTGTTTTTTAGGTCATAAAATGAGTAGAAAGCTTATCCTTAAGCAAAAAAATAACCCCTTTATTAATATACTAGATCATAAGTACTTAATAAGCAATGTCATTTTAATGATACTGTGGTATACATATTTATGAGGACAGAAACGTGTTATAAAGCTGCTTCATCTAAATTTGGCTTGTCAAAAAGACTATTATCTCTTACTATGTTTAAGGCTTTCTTATTAAAGTTTTTAAATAAGTTCAATTTTAGTTTCCTTGAGATGTATAAATATGTTAATGAATTCTAGCAATATGATATTTATTAGTACATATTTTAAAGGGTCTGTAATAGAGAAATTATCAGGTTAAAACTATCATATCTCTTCTCTTTTTCCTTTTGTGTGTGTGTGGAGGGGAAATTCTGGTTATTAATCCCAAAACCTTCACACTGAGCTACCTCCCAATTCTTCTTTGTCTCGAGATAGGGTCTTGCTAAGTCATTATATTGCCCAGGTTGGGCTTGAGTTTGCAGTCTTCCTCCCTCAATCTCTCAGTGATGGGCTACCAGGAATATCATATCACCATGTTTGGCTAGCATTTAACATCTAAGGGTAGATAGCTCTGAGGACAGCAAGGTGCCCTCAGAGACTGACTGTACATGTGAATAAACATGTCCGGCATAGATATGGTTCAGGTCCAGTTGGTTGGTTTTGAACTGTGTCCCAGATGCATTCAGACAATTACATTTGTTAGCATTTGAATGAGAATGCATATCTAGTCATGTTTGGATCTTCATCCAGACTGGCTTTTTCCAACAAATCCAGAGAACATAGGAGTGATCATTTTGAGGCTAAGATATAGTTGCTTGATGAAGCACCTCAATGATAGGGGCCTTGTTGATATGGTTTGAAAGGGAGGTTCAAGGAAAAATGGAATAGTAGTGTTTGGAGGCTCCGTCATGACCCCGAAACTTGATTGTTCAAGCAGAAACCATAAACAAGCACAGGATTTTTGTACTAAAACCTTTCATTTTTTTCCACCATAGTTTATAAGCTTAACTAGGTAGATGGGTGATTGTTCTTGTTTCTGAAACTTTATTTCTTTTTAATGTTCTTTTTAAAATTATAAATGAATGAAAACAATAGAAATGATACAGAATTTCAAAACATGATGGTAGGAAATTAAAAATGGTTATTATATTGTATATTATTATTTTCAGAGTATAGGCATTACCAGGTATAGGCATGCAAAACTGAAGAAACAAATTAAACACTTTTTTTCAGTGACCTAATAGAAATGTTATTCCTTTCTTCTGGATAGGTTTTGGTTGGTTCCATAATTCTATTCTGATCAACTTTAAAACCTACGTTTACTTTTCTTCTAAATGGTCTTTCCTCTTTATTTTCTTAGAGCCCAAATGTTATCAGTTAATATGTGTTTCATACATATGCGTGTTAAGTGATTATTTTCAGTATATGTCCTCCTTCTATCGGGAATAAGTTATATACATGGTTTATTTATTCATGGTTGTCTATATCTTTGGTAAAGATATTCTGTTTGAGTCATAAACCTAGAAAGTAACTGTTCTACTCATTTTTTTCATGCTAACCAGATAAATGTAAATTAGTGGAGTGATTGAATTCTTGGGAGAATATAGGAGCCAGAAATGGGCAGGTACCCTAGCAAATACATAGCTGTGATTTGACCTCAACCTGACAAAAAATTCTAAGAATAGAATTGTTTGGTTCTTTCTCGGTCAAAATTCTCTCTACCTTGGTTTGTTAAATGCAGTTGTGTGATCTAAAACTGCTTTGTGGTGTATATTTTAAGTTTGGTCTAAGCTAAATATTTCTTTGTACATAGTAAACTGCCAGAAAAAAAGTGATAATCAGGAAACAAACCCTAAGTACAGACAGCACACTTTGTATTAGCTCTTAAACATGATACATAAAGCAGAGATAATCTACTTTTCCAACATCAAGTAGCTGGATCTTAACTAATTACAAGCGGCCAATTCTTCCAACCATGTTCAAGTAATATAAGAGCTAATACTAAGTGGGCTGTCTGTACTTAGGGTTTGTTTTCTGATTACCACTTTTTTTTTCCAGCTGTGACAATAACCTGCCCATGTGGTGAGATGAAGATGCTCTAAATGTCTTCTCACTCTGGGAGTGGCTTGATTTACAAATTGTTTCTTGCTTAGTTAAACCCTGTTCAATTTAAAATGTCTAAAGTTTTTCATTGAACAGGTTGCACATGCCCTTTCATTCTGCTTTTTGCTATTGGCATATGGTACTGACATCATGCAATCTTTTGGGAGGGGTGTTTTCTTTGCTGTTTTACTATAGTTCTCACTTCCCCTTGTTCTTTATTACAAACTGCCAGGAACCACAGGAAATGTGTTATCCTTCAGTGAAACCAGAGCACATCAAGTGGTTCAGCAGAAATCAGAACAATTCATGATTTATAACCAAAAGCAACTCACAAGGATTTACCCTTCCGCCTACCGCATTGATTCCAGTAACTTCAACCCTCTGCCGTACTGGAACACAGGCTGCCAGCTTGGTGCGTAAGCCTCTGAAAACAGTGGTTCCCTGTGTGTTCTGAGTCTGCTTTTGTAACTTGCCTGATTCTCTCGATTTTTCAACTTGGACAGTGGCACTGAACTATCAGTCTGAAGGGCGAATGATGCAGTTAAATCGAGCCAAATTCAAGACAAATGGCAACTGTGGCTATGTCCTCAAACCCCAGCAAATGTGTAAAGGTATGCGTTTCAGACATCTCTCTGAATGCAGTGAACTCTAACCAAAGATATCATAGTGATATCTCAATGTTTTGCAGCAAAATTTTAAATTTTATTTTATTTTTATTGTTAATTGATACATAGCAGTTGTACATATTTGTGGTTGTAACATACAGTACACATATGCATGGTGTAATGATCAAATCAGGGTAATCTGTCACCTTAAACATATCATTTTTATTGTGTGTGTGTGCATCATTATGTATTTGGAGCATTCAAAGTCCTCTCTATGGGCTATTTGAAATGCTAACTTAATTGTAAGCCATGATCATCCTAGTGTCCAGCTCTGTCCCTTACCTACTAACTACCTTTGTCCATCCTGCTCTCCCCCACAGGCTTAGTAACTACTCTTCCATTCTCTACTTAATTGAGACAAAGTTGCAGCTTCCACATGTAGGAGCACACAGTACTTCTTTTTCTGTACTTTATTTCACTTAATGTCCTGTATTTTTTCTCACGTTGCTATAAATAATAGGATTCCATAATTTTAT